TGGAGAAGCCTATTGTCCCAAATTGTCATTAGTGGAGAAGATACAATAACCATGAGTAAACTAAGGTCCTTCTTTACGGGGGGTACCTTGGCTTTGGACTGTTTCCTGAGGGAGACACAGTTGGTGTTGACGTTGCTTTCTTTTGACCTCAAGGCAAAATGTTTCCATTTTGTCCAGGGATTTAACTTTTTAAAATTGTTCGATTAGTTTTTTCACTGGCTTTTAATGCCATCTAATTTGTAACATTATTGTTATTGTTCATCTTTTTCTAAAATTATGTCTAGCATGCTGAGAACCCTAATCAATGAAAGGCACTTTCTACATCTTATAAATACATTTCTGAAGTTTAGAAAAGGTCAGCAGGGTAGATGTGATCAAATGATGTAATGGTGTGTGATTATTTCTTCCATAAAACTAAGCAACTTGAGTAACAGAGCCAATGGCCTGTTGTTTAGTGTAGTAAGTCACAAGTAGAGTGCCAACTCCTCTGTAAATTCAGTTGATTCAATGGTCTTACTCTAGTTGTGACTTACTATACTAAGCAACAGGATTTGAGTCAAAGTCTCTTACTTAGATAATAACTATGATTCAGTCAAGGACAACCCATGATAATCCCTGGATGTGTTTATTCTACTACTGCTCATATTCAGTACTTGTTAGCACCACAATTAGTCAGTTACTGTATAGGAATTTTATATAACATACCTTGACTGAAATCCTTTTGCATCGCAATGTGCGTAATGAGAATGACTTCAACAACAAATTATCCCTGATTAATGGCTTCCTTTGACAATTTCAGGGTGCATATGAATTTGTTACATTGTATACACAGCCTTACATCAACTCTGCAAGGTAAGTTACTGTTCTTCTACCTGTATTACAGCTTTGGGCTAGAAGAATAGTAGCTGCCTAGAGTAAAATTTGTAATCTATGTATGAGATGAGATTTGAACCTAGGAAGTCCAGATTCATTGCTCAGTCTCTTCACTGCCCTGGTACTCTAGCACCCACAGCTAAATAAGACAGGAAGACAGATCAATTAAAAAATACTCATTTTACTCACCTCGGAAGGATAGAAGGCTGAGTCAACCTTGAGCCAGCTACCTGGGATTGAACCCTGAGTCGTGAGCACAGTTTTGGCTGCAGTACAGCAGTTTCACCACTGTGCCATGAGGCAAAGAACTTTGCACTTATCTTTGTTAAATTTTATTTTGTGGTTTTTAGCCCAATGCTCAAGTCTATCAAGACATATCTGAATTTTGTCTTTGTCTTCCAGGTATTAGCTATTCTACCCAATTTTGTGCCATTCACAAATCTGATAACCATTCCCTGCACACCTGAGCCAAGTCATTAATACGAATGTTGAAGATTATCAGGGCCAGGACTGAGCCTTGTGGCACCTCACTTGTTACCCCCTCCCAGTTTGAGAAGGAGCCATTGATAAGTACAATTCTCTGAGTACAATTCTGTAACCAATTGTGCATCCTCCTGACATATCCAGCCCACATCTAGTTATCTTGTTAATCAGAATATCAGTGGACACTTTGTGAAATGTTTTGCTGAAGTCAAGATATATTAAATCTATAGCATCCCCGCTATCTACCAGGGAGGTTATCTGATCAAACAATGAGATAAGATTCATCTGGCAGGATTTGTTTTTGACAAATCCATGTTGGCTTCTAGTTATTACTGCATTGTTTTCAAGGTGGTTGAAGAACAACTGCTTTACAATCTGCTCCAGAATTTCCCCCGGGATTGATGTCAGGCTGACCAGTCTGCAGTTCTCAGTTTCCTACTTTTTGTCCTTTTTGAAGATAGGGATAAAGTTAGCCATCTACCAGCTATCCTACACTTTACCCATTCTCATAAACTTGTGTCCCTCCTGATGCTTTTCTACCACAGCTGTCATGATTCCCGAGCACTGGCCAAGTTGGATGGAACTGGGTGGGTGTTGGAGTCCAGCAATATTTCAAAGTCTAAAGGTTCCCTGCTCCTGAATCAGACATGAATTGTACTCTTTTTCAGCAAGAACATAGCCACTCAATTTGACATTGCAGTCCCCACCTTTTCCTTCTGTTAATGAGTTACCCTTAACTTTGATGAGGGTGTTTGTAATGGACAGTTTAGCTGGTAAATCCAGGAAACCAGAGGTTGTTTCACATGTTTCAAGCAATCCTTTTTAAGACCCTGTATATGACTGATCAGAAGTTAAAACGGGAAGCACTATTAACAGCGCAGTTGCTCCCACTGGTAGTAAGCAATGATATCTAACAATGCCCCAAGGAGCTAGTTAAAAAGTGCCTCACACACTTCAAAAAGCACCTTAATGTAACTGCATTTGAAAGCTGTCAGTTGCTAGTAGGGCAAAAGAGTTTCTGTGCTGTAAGAGGGAGAGCGAGGTATTGTTACTTGGCAATTTGGAAATCAGAATAGAACATTGTTTAATTTTGTTTCTCTAACCAAATGGCTAATGGTTTTAGTAAGTAAAAACAAAAACCTAGGAAGCAGAATTGAGTACTGCTTTCTTTCTTCTAAGTGGGATGTCAGGGGATCAATTTTGCAGGCTTTTTAAAAAAATAGGTATTTCCTAGGAACAAAGGCTCAAAGAAGTAAATGCAACCTGCACATATATATTGACTCTTTCAGTTGTGTCTTCAATTATCTGAAACCTAAGCTAACTGAATTCTCTCCCCATTCCCTCTCCCCCACTCCCTATATTGGAAACAGGTGATTTTTTTTCTTTGAATGTACTCTAGTCCTGCCAGTCTCACCTTCTGAATACAAACCACAGGAATAGTTTCTGTGCCTGTTTGCCATGCAGGTATGGCGGAAAGGGGAAAAAGATGGCGACCATAATTCAACGCTAACATGAGTGGGTACAGAGTGGCTCAAACTCAGATTCTGAAGAGCTGAGCCCACAGAGCCCTGGACACGAACTAGTTTCAGTTTCATTTTTTCTTGTTTTTCTTCTTATTTGCATGTCAAGCTCCTTTCATCCCTAATACGATGAAACTGGTGAATCCAAGTGAATTCATACCAAACACACATTAAAATGAAATTCTGAAGCCCCCCCCCTTGGATCCAACTTGTGATGTCCATCTCTTGCACAAGCAGTGTTTGTGCTCTCACAAAAACTGAACAGTGCAGATGTGGGCGCTGCTGTGGTGTGCCTCAGTTAAATTGCCTTTACTCAGACATATGCATGGAGGGAAAGGCTGGCCATTCTGCCTCCTCTTTGTTTGTCCCTTTGCCTGGGTTCTACACAATCATGCTAGTCTTAGAAGAGTCTCTCTAGGTTGAAGTGTACCCCACAGAACATTAAAACTCCTGTATGGTCTCTTTTTTTTATTGGTTCTATTTGTGAAGGAGATAAATGCATGTCTAAAGGAATAAAACATTTTTCCTGATTATGACAAACGGTGTGTTTCTTTTCCCTCACGGGATGTAATAGGAATATCAATGTTTTACGTTTCATATAAAAACTCAAGTTGGATAAAAGATGAAACACATTTAAAGGAGTTGTTATCTCAGTTATGGGTAAAGTGCCATTATACTAAAATTCATAGGCTCAGAACTGCAAGTGCTGTGGATTTCCTGGCTGCTGAGAATCCAGTCAGTTTTGTGTCTACTGCACCCCACATCCAGCCACCATGGACAAGACTAGAGATGAAAATCTTGATTCATCAATCCATCCACTCACCCCGCCACCACACCGTCCTCCTCAGGCTTGGAGTAGACAGTATCAATGCCCGCAGTGTTTAATCAATTGTAAAGTTAGATTAAGCAACTGAAGCCTTGTGATTTACTAAAATAGCATCCACAATTAATTTAGTAGTAGATGTTTTGAAAATAAGTTATTATTCTTTAATTATAGAAAATACTTCAGGGGCCTCAGATGAGGCCCCTGAAATATTTTCTATTATTAAAAGAAAAGGTCGCTCTCCTCTCTCATACAGAACAGCTGGTAGTGAAGTCATCTGGGAGTTGCAGTACAAGAACTCCTGGGTTACCCAAAGTTGGGAACCATTGCTCTGAACAAAGAAAACTTTTTATTCAGAATTTTGAATCTGTATGTTTTGAGCAATAACTCCCAGAATTTCCTGTTGGAGAGCATTCTGGGAGTTGCTGCTTTTTTCATATGATGTCTTTGGAAATGTGATTGGTTGATCATTTGAAGACTGATTGAAAGACCAAAGGTGTGGCGGATCTGTGAGGAAGGAATTTCTAAAAGCGTACAACATGAATTACCGAATATTTAAATAAGGTGCATCTATTCACAAAGAGAAACAGAATTTACAGCATTCATAGGAAAACATTGAACAACAGATAGAACTTTAAAAAGTAACAAAATTACTACAAGCCCTATCTAACTGGTTTAGCTTGATTCTGTTTACCTTTCTCTTTCTCCTCCCTCTTAGGGCACCCTTCTTATCTGTCATTTCCACTGACTGGCGAGTCTGTGCTCCAGATTCCATCAAGTTCCTTCTGCCCTTTCCAGTTCTAGATGTACAGCCTTCCTCTTAACAGACAGCTCTTCTGGCCAAGCTATCAGAACTTCCAGATCATTTTTGGTACATCTTCCCACCCCACTCCATCTCTTGGAGTGGAGATTAAAGAGCAAAAATGGGCTTGGGTCACAAGTACACTAAGAATTGTATGGCTCTGCAACACATTATTAATATTCCTAAACTACCCCAAACTCACTGGGTTTCTCATCTTCTAAATTTCTTCCTTGCCCATACATCCCAGGGGATGTCCCCAAGAAAGGGATGCTCCAATCAGCCAAGTCAACATTCAACATGTGAATATCCTAGCAGAATAGTGTATGTGAAAAATGAGAACCCAAGAGTCAGCAGAGATTTATACCGCACAAATTTCTGCCCAGGCTCAAAAGAATGGGGGTAGGTGCCTGGCTCCTATTGCTCCCATCCCAGGGATGAATGACTAGGATGCTAAATGTAGGTTTATGAAAATATCTTCAGATTGACTAGTGTTACTTACATGATGATGCAGGCCTTGCCCATCCACATATTCTCATGCTAGCTTCAGAAAGGCCATTCCTCTGTAAAGGATGTGGAAAATGGGATTCCTCAGATACTAAGAAGTGCATTGCATTTTACATGGCAGAACTGAAAATTGACCCTGAATCAGCCTGTCCTGACTTCTTGACATCTGTATGGTAGGCACATTGGCCCATTTCCACTTATTCACAACATTCAGTTATATTTTAAATGGATTTCACTATAATATCATAATATTTGTTTACATTACAGTGGGGTCTCAACTTATGAACGGCAAGTAAATGCAACCTGCACATATATATTGACTCTTTCAGTTGTGTCTTCAATTATCTGAAACCTAAGCTAACTGAATTCTCTCCCCATTCCCTCTCCCCCACTCCCTCTATTGGAAACAGGTGATTTTTTTTCTTTGAATGTACTCTAGTCCTGCCAGTCTCACCTTCTGAATACAAACCACAGGGATAGTTTCTGTGCCTGTTTGCCATGCAGGTATGGCGGAAAGGGGAAAAAGATGGCGACCATAATTCAACGCTAACATGAGTGGGTACAGAGTGGCTCAAACTCAGACTCTGAAGAGCTGAGCCCACAGAGCCCTGGACACGAACTAGTTTCAGTTTCATTTTTTCTTGTTTTTCTTCTTATTTGCATGTCAAGCTCCTTTCATCCCTAATACGATGAAACTGGTGAATCCAAGTGAATTCATACCAAACACACATTAAAATGAAATTCTGAAGCCCCCCCCCCTCCAGCTTAGCATAGATTCTATGATTAAATCACTAAGGAGACTTAAATTAATTACAAAGATCGAGTCCCTGGGATTTCAACAGGATCACTCTAAACCTGACTGAATTTGGATCCAACTTGTGATGTCCATCTCTTGCACAAGCAGTGTTTGTGCTCTCACAAAAACTGAACAGTGCAGATGTGGGCGCTGCTGTGGTGTGCCTCAGTTAAATTGCCTTTACTCAGACATATGCATGGAGGGAAAGGCTGGCTATACTGCCTTCTCTTTGTTTGTCCCTTTGCCTGGGCTCTACACATTCATGCTAGTCTTAGAAGAGTCTCTCTAGGTTGAAGTGTACCCCACAGAACATTAAAACTCCTGTATGGTCTCTTTTTTATTGGTTCTATTTGTGAAGGAGATAAATGCATGTCTAAAGGAATAAAACATTTTTCCTGATTATGACAAACGGTGTGTTTCTTTTCCCTCACGGGATGTAATAGGAATATCAATGTTTTACGTTTCATATAAAAACTCAAGTTGGATAAAAGATGAAACACATTTAAAGGAGTTGTTATCTCAGTTATGGGTAAAGTGCCATTATACTAAAATTCATAGGCTCAGAACTGCAAGTGCTGTGGATTTCCTGGCTGCTGAGAATCCAGTCAGTTTTGTGTCTACTGCACCCCACATCCAGCCACCATGGACAAGACTAGAGATGAAAATATTGATTCATCAATCCATCCACTCACCCCGCCACCACACCGTCCTCCTCAGGCTTGGAGTAGACAGTATCAATGCCTGCAGTGTTTAATCAATTGTAAAGTTAGATTAAGCAACTGAAGCCTTGTGATTTACTAAAATAGCATCCACAATTAATTTAGTAGTAGATGTTTTGAAAATAAGTTATTATTCTTTAATTATAGAAGATATTTCAGGGGCCTCCGATTTGGGATTCCTCCAGTCCAGCCTTAATACTTCAGGGGCCTCAGATGAGGCCCCTGAAATATTTTCTATTATTAAAAGAAAAGGTCGCTCTCCTCTCTCATACAGAACAGCTGGTAGTGAAGTCTTCTGGGAGTTGAAAGGAGAATAATTTTGCCATTGGTTGTTGTGGCTTTTTCGGGCTCTTTGGCCGTTTTCTGAAGTTTGTTGGGCCAACTACCCCAGAGCACAGAGTGCTGTCCTCTGAAGATGCTGGCCACAAAGGCTGGTGAAATGTTAGGAAGAACAACCTTCAGAACACAGCCAAAGAGCCTGAAAAACCCATAACAACCATTAGATCCTGGCCGTGAAAGCCTTTGCGAATACAATTTTGCTATTCCTCATCCTCCCATACAAGGATGAGACAACTGAGGATGGATTTCCACCCCGTGTTGTCTATGAAACTATTTCACAAAGTGAAACACAGATGAAATGAAGCTCAGTCTAGATACAATAGGATTTTTTTGGCAAGGAGATCCATCCAAATGGAAAGGTCAGTTCAGCCATGTTTTTTCCCCTGAATAGGGTTATACATTTTTTTAAGCATCAGAATTGCAGACTGCAGTCTCTTGCATTATCCATCACCTTGGATGACCATGTGGTGGCAGCAGCCCAAAGTACTTTTCACTAGTTAACATCTCTGTACCACATGCCTGTCCTGTTGGAGAATGACTACTATTACCTAGAATCAGTGCATTGTTACTAGGGCAGCCTTTGAAGACCTCTTGGAAAATGCAAGGTTCAGAATACAGTAACTAAGCTGTGGCCTAGTGTGGTTGAGAGAGATAATACTGTGCCAGCTTCATTGACTTCCTATCATTTTTAGTGCAATTCAGTGGTCCGAGGATTCAGTTCACAGTGCTGATGTTCAGCTATAAATCACTATATGGTTTGGCACCAAACCATATAGTGATTAACTTTTCAGGGGCTGTGGCTCTCAGAAAACACTAGCCATGCTGGCTGGAGTATTCTGGGAGATGCAGTCCAAAAAGTAATATTTCCAAGACATGACCTAACAGCCTATCTCTGTATGAACCTTGAAAACTTCTCCTTGTCTTCTCCTGCCTGAAGGTGGTAACTGAAGCATGGTCAGAACCTGGAAACATTAGGGTTTTCGACAGTATCTCCAGAATAAACCGATTTCTAAGATTGTATATAGCTCCAAGGAAAATAATCTCCCTATACTCTGGAGATGGGCCTTTTCTGTGGTGGCACCCCCCAACATTTGTGAAGTGCCTTTGCTCAGTCTGTGTGCCTGCATTATGAGCTTTTGTATTCCAGGCGCCTCTGCAAGCTTTTCAATGAGTCAAAGCTCTTTCTTGATGTAGGCTTTTAAATTCAATCAATACTAAGTTTGCTTTGTTCCTATTCCTTTTCCACTTGGGATGTTTCATTTGGTTGTTTCTTTTGTTTGTAAAGGATGTGGAAAATGGGATTCCTCAGATACTAAGAAGTGCATTGCATTTTACATGGCAGAACTGAAAATTGACCCTGAATCAGCCTGTCCTGACTTCTTGACATCTGTATGGTAGGCACATTGGCCCATTTCCACTTATTCACAACATTCAGTTATATTTTAAATGGATTTCACTATAATATCATAATATTTGTTTACATTACAGTGGGGTCTCAACTTATGAACGGCTCGACATACGAACATTTCGACTTACGAACCACTCTCATAGGAATATATGGACTCGACTTACGAACTTAGATTCGAGTTACGAACTCTTTTTTTCCTTTTTTTAAAAGCTAAGTCATCTTCAGGTTAAAAGGAACAAAGAAAAAAATATCCCCCTCTAGTGGCAGAAGGCGGAATAGCAGCTTCCCATTAGTTTCTATGGACGAAAAGAGCAGATACGGATTAAATGGTTTTCAATGCATTCCTATGGGAAATGCAGATTGGACTTAAGAACTTTTCGACCTGAGAACTGCCTTCCAATACAGATTAAGTTCGTAAGTCAAGACCCCACTGTATTTAAAATATGTTATATAGGAAGAGGCACTAAAAGCATAGTTGCATGAGGGATGCCAAGAATAGCTACTAAACTCTTCATTCTCCTTCCTTTAGGCTGCCTTGACCTGAGGAGACACCTAGCCAAGGGGTTTTCAAGCCCTGTGAGATTCCTTAGCTCTAGCTGGAAGGGAGGCAAGGAGCATTACTTAATCTTGCCAAGGCCTCTGTATTTAGTGCAAAGTCCGTGTCCTCTGAGAAGCAAAGCACACAGGCCTGCCCACACACAAAGCAATGACTGGTTGTTGAAAAAGACACATTTAAGGATGCTACTAATCCCTCGATGTCCATGCAATGAAAGTTATCCTTGTTTTCAAAATTTTGCATTATACGCATTCAAGCATTATTTGTATTTGTATTATTTGCTTACTTTGCACACAAAGAGTTCTCATTTTCACTCTCTTCTCTTAACTAGAGCTCCACAAAATACTTTTCCCACTTGCCAGAAAAGGAGAATAATTTTGCCATTGGTTGTTGTGGGTTTTTTGGGCTCTTTGGCCGTGTTCTGAAGTTTGTTGGGCCAACTACCCCAGAGCACAGAGTGCTGTCCTCTGAAGATGCTGGCCACAAAGACTGGTGAAATGTTAGGAAGAACAACCTTCAGAACATGGCCAAAGAGCCTGAAAAACCCACAACAACCATTAGATCCTGGCTGTGAAAGCCTTCGCGAATACAATTTTGCCGCCGTTCCTCATCCTCCCATACAAGGATGAGACAACTGAGGATGGATTTCCACCCTGTGTTGTCTATGAAACTATTTCACAAAGTGAAACACAGATGAAATGAAGCTCAGTCTAGATACAATAGGATTTTTTTGGCAAGGAGATCCATCCAAATGGAAAGGTCAGTTCAGCCATGTTTTTTCCCCTGAATAGGGTTATACATTTTTTTAAGCATCAGAATTGCAGACTGCAGTCTCTTGCATTATCCATCACCTTGGATGACCAGGTGGCAGCAGCCCAAAGTACTTTTCACTAGTTAACATCTCTGTACCACATGCCTGTCCTGTTGGAGAATGACTACGATTACCTAGAATCAGTGCATTGTTACTAGGGCAGCCTTTGAAGACCTCTTGGGAAATGCAAGGTTCAGAACACAGTAACTAAGCTGTGGCCTAGTGTGGTTGAGAGAGATAATACTGTGCCAGCTTCATTGACTTCCTATCATTTTTAGTGCAATTCAGTGGTCCGAGGATTCAGTTCACAGTGCTGATGTTCAGCTATAAATCACTATATGGTTTGGCACCAAACCATATAGTGATTAACTTTTCAGGGGCTGTGGCTCTCAGAAAACACTAGCCATGCTGGCTGGAGTATTCTGGGAGATGCAGTCCAAAAAGTAATATTTCCAAGACATGATCTAACAGCCTATCTCTGTATGAACCTTGAAAACTTCTCCTTGTCTTCTCCTGCCTGAAGGTGGTAACTGAAGCATGGTCAGAACCTGGAAACATTAGGGTTTTGGACACTATCTCCAGAATAAACCGATTTCTAAGATTGTAGCTCCAAGGAAAATAATCTCCCTATACTCTGGAGATGGGCCTTTTCTGTGGTGGCACCCCCCAACATTTGTGAAGTGCCTTTGCTCAGTCTGTGTGCCTGCATTATGAGCTTTTGTATTCCAGGCGCCTCTGCAAGCTTTTCAATGAGTCAAAGCTCTTTCTTGATGTAGGCTTTTAAATTCAATCAATACTAAGTTTGCTTTGTTCCTATTCCTTTTCCACTTGGGATGTTTCATTTGGTTGTTTCTTTTGTTTCCTTTTTCTTATTTCCCTGCGCCCATTAGTGCACATTTTTATATTGTTGTTTTATCATTATTGATTTTATATAATTTTATATTTTTATTTGTGGATTTCCTTAGCAAATTCTTTGATGAAGCAGGGTGTAAATATCAGCAATTAATTCAACCAATGTGTGGAAATCAGTAGAAATCTGAAGCCTATTGTATGGGATATACCAATACAAATGAAAAGTGGAGTTTTGCCCATGTACAGAAAATGGGTGCACCACAAACTGTGGTACATCAAGCACAACCCAACCCCGTGTAGACCACCCTTTGCTCTGACTATAAAATCATCAGGAATCAACTTTTAGAGGGTAGAATATTATGGCTGGCTAAAAAGTTACATAAGGGAAGGAGCGGGAGGAGTGGTGGGTGGGAAGCTTTGTGAAAAGAGCAGTGAAGCAGATCAAGAAAATAAAATAATCCTGGGGACTGTGTCCAATTTTTCTAACATTTATAATAATTGACTTCACTGGGATTGCCTGGGTGTAGCTGAAGTCCAAATTAGCCTCCAGTGAGTCTTGAATAGTGTCTTAAGTCGATGGGATTTTTACTACTGTAAAACAGATATGACAAATATTTTCTTTGATGTGGGATAGAAAAATAAAATGGATCCTTGGCGGATATTTCCATTTGCCTTTTTTTCCTTAAGCAGTGGTCTTTAGTTTCCTTTAATTTCACGATGGCTTATTATCCTTTATTGTTTAACTGGGGCGGTGGAGGGTGGTGGTGAATTTTTCAAGCAAAAGAATAAAACTGCAAAAAATGTAGGCAATTTCTTTAGATTCTTTTTTAACCCCTTTACAGGGCAATCCTCTGGATGTTTATTGAGGAGTGAATTCCACAATGTTAGCGGATTTACTCATGGACAGTTGTGTGCATGAGGTTGCAGCTGAAAGGTCCTCTAAATAACCAAGAAATGTCAATTCCTTACCGTTCTTTCCAATGAGAGTTTTGCTGTTCTCAATTCCACTGGTTTGGCAACAAAAATCTGGAGACCACAAGTGCCAGCCTGTGTTTGATGAAAACCAGTAAAAACTATCATCATGACATTGTGTCTAGGAGCCTTCCCTAGCTTTATGCCCTCCAACTGTGTTGTATAGCAGCTTCCATCAGCCCTAATCAACATGGCCAGTGGCCAAGGATAATGGTGATTTTGGTCCAAAACATCTGGAGGGCAGCTGGTAGCCGAACAGTGCATATCACTGCAGGATGGTATCTTTTCTTTGGAAACTTTAGAAACTGATTGATGGGTAACTGGGCTAGGCTAGGTTTTTCACTATTGTTTATGCTTAGCACACCACTATTCTGCACTCTTGGCAATAATAGGTACTGAAGGCAGCTTTTAAAAGAATGAACTGGCAGTACAATACAACTTGATGCATTTAAAGTCAGAAGTAAGCACAAAGGATTTTCAGGGAAGTGTATAGAGGACCGCAGTCTTAGATATATGCAATATACGTAGCTACTAGAATCACACTCCTCAAAGGGCTTCTAGTGTGACCAAGAAAAGGAAACCAGGGGGAGAAACAGAAACCAAATAAAAGCTAATTCCACAGACATGCAGAAGGTGTTGGCTTAATCTATATCTATAACATTATAATATGCCAATTTGGCTTAAATCTTTTTTGCTAGTCCCAACCAGGGTAGATCCATCAAATCTCTTGCTGAATGGAGAATCAATACATATGTAAATTCCATGAATTCAATGGGTTTACTGTAGTTGAGCTAGCAGGATTCCGTTTTTTGTAAATAAATGATGCACAGGACATATGAGTAAATGACATGGAAACAACGTTGAATAGCCAGGTTGAACAAGACTCTTCCATCAAAAGTACTTCAATATCCATGGAGAGTTTTAACTATTTGAACTGTTTTGAACTTCCAACACTGGGACGTGACAGATCTGAAAATCCATCAGTCTCAGTCTCACTGCATTTTAAAAACCTGCACCAAAATCCTCACTCTCCCCAAATTCTGCATTCAGTTATCTTCCAAACTGATTATTCACACATGCTTTCATGTGTTTTTCACCAAAAACACAGGGCATTTTAGTACACAGCTTTCTGATGGATGCAATTGGCAACCTTCTTTTCCATTGATTCAAGGATGTTTGTTGTACATGTTTCAAAGGTATGAGTTTTTAGCCATGTGTCCTTTCTGCCCCCTCTGAAATACATTGCAAGTCTTCAAAATGTGTGGATTTATAAGGAAGCTGTGTTCCATTTTACTGCTATACTTGGAAGGTTCAGAGTAGATTTCTCTCCTATTTGTGTGTTTCTCTGAAAACTCACCCAAGAGCAGCAAGTTCCTTGTTCATTTGTCTGGTTGTTAAAGTGTTTTTTAAAGTTTTTTAAAGTTTTTTAAAGTGTATTCAGGTTCATTTATAAAACATTTTCTTCTTGTAAGCAAGCACTGTAAAATATGCAGATTGTCATTCAGCCACTCGGTTTACTATACAAATAATACAGTCCTAACAAGATGATGTGAGTGTCATTTTACTATGAAGTAGTAATGATACTCCAGTATGACTGTGATCTCCTTAGGAAATGACTGCAGTGCATGATGAATGTGAAATGTGAGTGATGTGCCACGACTACAAATGGGCCATTATCTATTGTGACAGTTATATGACTCCAAAGATGTTGCCAAGCTCCAGGACTTTGATGTGGCTTTATTGCCATAACTGTGACATTGCTTGGATGTCACAGGAAGCCTTGCCATTATTTAGCCATTTATACTCATTCATTGGCCAAGTTTCACAGAAAATGTGAGGCCGACAGAGTAATACTTAAGGTGCCCTAGGGGAAAGCATGGGTGGAAAATTTGGATTCTACAGCATTCTAGAAACTTGAAATTGTTCTTTAAATTAAGGGAGAATTTGGGTTTTTTGAAAAAGGTTATCTGCACCTTTGATGTGGCCTGGTGGAGATAGTTAAGAAGGAAAATTTGGATTCTGTTACACTGGAGCCTTTTTGCAGCAAATATACGTATATATATACTCTCTCTTTCTTTCTGTCTGTCTCTCGCTCTCACTCTCTCTCTCTGTATAAATGGCACTGTTTGTGTTGTGGATATTTTCTGACCCTGCAGAGGATTCAGTCTCCTTTGGCTGGGTACAACATGCCCCCCACCCTTCAGTGCACAGCTTAACATAGTGAAGGGGTCTGATTGTATCAGGGAGGCTAAAAGCAATGCCATCAGGAGTCTAGACTCCAATGTATTTGCGAAGGCTTTCACGGCTGGGATCTAATGGTTGTTGTGGGTTTTTTAGGCTCTTTGGCCGTGTTCTGAAGGTTGTTCTTCCTAACATTTCACCAGTCTCTGTGGGCGGCATCTTCAGAGGACAGCAGAGGACAGTGCTGTCCTCAGAAGATGCGAGCCACAGAGACTGGCGAAACATTAGGAAGAACAACCTTCAGAACACGGTCAAAGAGCCCAAAAAACCCATAACAACCAGTAAAGGTTTCCCTTGGCAATTTTTGTCTAGTCGTGTTCGACTCTAGGGGGCAGTGCTCATCCCCGTTTCCAAGCCCTAGAGCCAGCGTTTGTCTGAAGACAATCTTGCATGGTCAGACTCCATTTGAAGTCTTGAAAGCCTAGCTGGGTCACCCAAAGTGGAATGATCCAAACAGAGATATCAAACTAAAGTTCATCTGTCTTTTTTTTTGGGAATTCAGAGTATCATTAGAAGAAGAGAATTTAGAGTTCTAACCATGATGTGGCAGAAAAATCCTTGAAGGGCAACTACTGCGGAGCAGTGGGAATGCAAGGTGATTCAGGTAACAATGGCAGTGACATTTGAGCTAACTTGTTAGTACTCTGCAGAAGAAGGCAAAGACAAACCACCCCTGAATGCTTTATGCTTTGAAAACCCTATGATGAGACAATACAAAATAAACAGGAGATAGTGCTGCAAGATGAGATGTCCAGGTTTAATGGCACTCAGTCAGTTATGGGAAAAATGTTAAGGATTAGTATTAATTGTTGGAAATGCAGCAGTACTGGAGCAATGTTAACTAAGAGCAGTCTAGTTGCTAGCTAGCTAGCTCAGTGGTTTCAGTATCTGGCTGCAAAGTCAGAGGTTGGGAGTTTGTTTACCCACTGTGTCTCCTGCACAGTACAGCCAGCCTGTGTTACCTTGGGCAAGCTTCATAGTCCCAGGGCACCCCTCTTGGGCAAGCTTCATAGTCCCAGGGCATCCCCATAAGAAGGGAATGGTAAACCACTTCTGAATATTCTCTATGCAGAAAATCCTCAAAAAGGGTCACCATAAATCAGAATTGACTGGAAAATCCTCAAAAAGGGTCAACATAAATCAGAATTGACTTGACAGCACATGATTATTGTTACTACAATGTAGAAAGCTGTAGGAAGAATTATTTTTGCAGATTGTTATAATTATTAAATAACAGACAGCTAGAAAAGGTCTATCTATACTATCCCATCAGTTTCAGACTAACTCTATTTTAAAAGAAAATGCTTTCGCAGTTTCCTGTGTGGATAGACTGTTGTGGAATAGGGCACAGCCTGACTGCTGCTAAAATCTTAGCTCTTCATTTCTGCTGTTGTTGTACCCCTCAACCATTGTAGCTTATTCATTAGTTGAGATCCGCATGGGGGAAATGAAAAGGGGAAAGGGGGTTGGAGGCTAGGAGAAGCTTGTCATTGTTGCAATCTTCTGCAAAGTCAAGGCCTGGAATTTCCCTTGGCAATTAGTATCTTGGAGTCTTGTACCCTCCCTCACCCCCTGCAAACTGTTCTATAACTCATTTCCCAAGACTGGACAGAAATACAGCAAATGTGTTCCCTCTTTCTTTGGCTGGCTAAATTATGTAGAGCACCCACAGATATTGCAATTGTAAGCAAGCTTAAGCATGCTTCTGTCCACCCCTGCCCCCCAAACAGAATACTTTTCTGGTAGTACAGTTTTGAGGAAGGTAGTCATTGGAAAGATTTCAAGATCTCCGGCTAAAGACTGTGTTCTTGAGTATTAGTAACAGATAAGAGTCTCATCTGATTTCCTGTCCTCTCTTTTCCATGACAGCTGCTGAGAAACACCAGAAGGGATGGACTGCTTCAATGAATCAATTAAAAATTAACATTGTCCATTTTTCCCAATTAAAGGAGAACAAAGGTTTTAGGCAGACTAATTTCGAGGCTGACTGTCTTAAGGCAATCAAAAATACAAACTTAAAATTCTGTGATGTTTAATTCTTGGAAGCAGCCATGATGACAGCAAAGTCCACATAAGCAGGAGGCTCTGCCCATGTTTATGCAAACACGGCCATAAGGTAACTGTGGTATGTGGTTGCAAATGGAAACCGTAATTAATGGAGTGAGGAGAAATGTAGACCTTTATGTACAAGAATGGTGTCATTAATAATCAGTTTCTCAATAGAAATATTGGTTATTGTAGAATCTGAAAGATAAATGTATCAGCAGAATAGACTGGCAAAAATCAATTCACCTCAAGTCTGTGTAAATATACTTTGTTGTTATTGTATCTTCAAGTCACTTCTGACTTTACGGTGACCCTAATAGGCTTCTTGGGGTATGTAATAAGTTTACCGCTTGTTCCTTCAGTGAGTTTCCATGCTAAGCAGAGATTTGAACCCAGACCTCTGGGTCCTAGATTGGCACCGTATCTAGTGCTCTAATACTGTAGGTTACTTCTGACCTTTACTTTGAGAGCTACAGCTTAAGATCTGAAGTGGTCTCAAATGTCATAACTCTTCATGGTGGCATCAACTGCCCCATGCCACAGACATCACTCCCTCACCATTGTTCCCTGCTCCTTCCCTATTACTGATCCTAATAAGCTAAAGGCAGTGCCATGGAGTGGTACCTTGTTTGATTCTCATCCTACCCCACCCCACCCCACCAACTTGGGGAGGTAGCCTAAGATATAAAGTTTTCAGTTCAAGTTAATGAGCAGAGTCAGGAGATGTAAAGAACTCATTTTTTTAGACTCTCCACCAGCACTGGAATTTACATTTATTTTTTTACTATGGGGTATTAGCTCCAGGCCAGTCCTTCCTACTGGCAATCCCCATGTACCAAGATATATTTTGGAGGAAGAGGGAAAGACCAGACAGGGGGGACTAAAAGAGAATATCTCATGGTTTGCTGTTTCCAAAACAAAAGAAAAACAAAAACCAATCCTCTTCAGAACGACTTGCGTTTCTGAAAACATTCTTACTCAAACCAATTATATGGTGAGCCATGCTAACTCTTCCATCATGACTTCAGCCATGCAGAAATTGCATCTAGGTTACATTTGACTTTGAGAGCACATTGTAAAACTGACAAACTCATTGGTCCAGATGCAGACTGCAACAATTGTATTTTGACTTTCTTTTAGGAAACAGATGATCACATGCATGTTTCAAGGAGAAATGAACACTGGGCTACAATGGTTCCTAATCAACTCGTGACTTTTCAGTTCTTCAGCCAATTTATCCAGATCTGAGGCACCAAGAACACTATCTGAAGAAGCTCGTAAAGAACAGAACATGCTAAATGCTTATAAAAAATAAGTTGAACAATCAAGTTTCTTGGTTTGGATTCAGCTTATGCCCTGTGGCCCAAACTACTTTCTGCTCTATCTTTAAGAAAGGGAGGGAGGAAATCCTGTCACTGACTTAGATATATGCATCCTAAGAACGTTTGTTAAACACATAGTTCAAAATCTTATTTTGATATGACCAAGGATGCAGTTTCCCTCTTGCATATGCTCTTATCCTATTTAAATTTCACATCCTTTCTCCTGGGTGCTGTTCTCTTATCATTTTTCTAAGGTCAATTTTGTTTCAGCGAATCAGATGCTTGTATTGTTTCTTACTCCATCATGTGGGATCAGACAACAATTCTGGAATCTGAATGTGCTTTTCTGTTATCTTGCTGATTTTGATGGATTGTCATCCATGAGTTTGACTTTGCAGGGTTGAAAACATAGCATTAAAATGTTGTTGGCTTTTTTTAAAAAGCAGTTCGTTAAACAAACATGCTGGGAAAGTTAGACAGAAAGGTCACTGGAACAGTGTTTGATGAAGAAAGTTGCTTTTGATATTGTTTTGTAACCCATTTTTCAAGACAGTTGAATGGCATATCATTCCCACAGTTAGCAATTTATAGGGCTTGGAATTATTTAATCGGGATATGCATATAGTTTATATGACAATCAAATGGAGGAAAATTCTGAATGGAAGAAATCATTTATACCCTGAATGACACATATTATATGCCATGTTTATCTGGAGATAATGTAACTTCACATTGCCAGGCATTGTCAGACATAGATTTTCTACTCTGCACCTCATTTTATGTAGAAATGCTTAATATATGTTGACAATAATTTGAGCAAGGAAGAGCAAAACAGAAGATTTCATATCTTTGACATTCACTTTTTGTTAGACGTTAGGCAATTCTCCAGAAGGACAGTTGCCAATAGGCTACTGAAAATACAAAGAAACCATCTTCCATGGTTAAATAGATTCTGGATCCATGGAGAGACAAAGATGTGCAGTACAGTGGTGCCTCACTATGCGATAATTGGTAAGCGAAACAGCGAACCCATCATTGCAAAGCGATTTTTCCCCATAGGGAACATCGCAATGCGATCGCAAAAACTTAATCGCTATGCAATTTCGTCGCTAAACGGAGTGCCCGTTAAACGAGGCATCACTGCAATCAAAATCCAGATGAAACAAAAAGGGCAAAGGAGAAGAAGACATCAGCATAACAGAAAAGGAAATGAAAGTTAGGAACACACAGCTGTTCTAAAAGAATACTCTGACTGGTGGTGCTGCAGGAGGGTGCTCTCCAAGGTCTGAAACGTTCTTTGCATGGCTGTGATTTTGTGCTACTTGGTGTGACTTCTTTCTGCCTTTTGTGACACTGAACTATCCCTGACTATTTTGGGTATAGAGCCATGATGGATTTTAAAATAGGGCCCAAGCAGGAAGATAGGGTGAAGGAAGGAGTAACAGTAAGATGCAGGAAGAGTGGGAGCCGAATGGAGAATCTGCTGCATGTGGGCTCTGTTCGTGTAAATTCTGCTTGCGGCTATTTGATCAAGGGTGATTCAGGCAGGGGTGCCCTCTTGCTTTGAATGATTGACCCGTCCCAGCTACACAACATTTACAACTTGTTAGAGCTTGGACATGTGAATGAGTTTTATGGCTAAATAGGGATTTGAAACCATATCTCCTGAGTCCTAATCCAACACTATGGGCACTATTATTATATTATGTATTTTATTGGTTTTATCTGTAGGCTGCCTTTCTCCCAGTAAAGAGATCCAAGGCAGTTCACAATATTAAAAAGAACAGAATAAAACACATGATAACATTTAAAAAGAATTAAAACTAAGTGTGAATTAAAATACAATTAAATGACTGAAAGCAAATAAACATTAAAAACTATTTTAACTACACCAAAAAGGCTAGATAATTCATCTTCTTCATATGTTCCTTTACTGTTGTCGTTCCCAGCCTTGGGTTCCCCGATGTTCTTGGACTCCAACTCCAAGAAATACTGGCTAGTACAGCTTGTACTAAAGCCATCTTGGAGTTGCAGTCCAAGAACATCTGGGAACTCAAGGTTTGGAATCACTGTTTTACAATGTTTATATCCTGTCTTTTCTTGAATAGTTCAAGACAGCTTATAAGAAGAATACAGTACAATAAATACAAACACCCCCCCTCAATAAAATCTAGCAGGATTTTTTTTTCCCGAAAGAGCTACTGCAATCAATTTCATCAAACATAATAAAAATCAAGGCTTTTTAAAAAAATTAAAAAGTTGAAAAAATGCACTCATAAATGACCACATATAATTATGGTAGGTAATCTCTCTCTCTCTCTCTCTCTCTCTCTCTCTCTCTCTCTGTGTGTGTGTGTGTGTGTGTGTGTTGGACCACAGTCCTCAAAACCGGTTGTCACATCCACCCAGTGTCCTTTGTTTATTGTCCCTAAACGCAAGTCCACCCTCTGGATGTGTTTCCTCACTTCACGCTGCCACCAGGTATTATTCCCTCAATACCAAATAGATAGATCTTGGATACGTGCTGCCAATACAATAGATTTATTGATCTTATAGTCGCAATGCAAATCACAGGAGTAAATCACAGATGTTTAGGATTATTCTTTAAATGTAATTTGCTTTCACATTGGTTTGTATGTGTATTTATTCACTTTTACATTATTCTTTGACTATCTATTTACTCTCTATACTTTTAAACTCTTTCCTATTCTCTCTAGCATTCCAACTTTCCAATCTCTGTCTTAACTTTTTCAATTCAATCTCCTAACTCTCTCTCTTCAATTCCCTATCTCCAACCTCTTTTCTCTAACTCTCGTCCATAACTGTATAACTGTCCTTTTTGGTTCCGCCCCTCCTGTCCTCTCATAGACTCCTGCCCTTGAGCTCCCCATGATAGACAGGCGTGACGTAGGGCATCTGCCACACTGGACAGGCAGCGTGATCACTGATTACACTGGGTTCAGGAGTCTGGGTGTTGTCGTTCAAAAAAATCAGAAATCAGCACATATCTAATTAAAATGCCACCTTCCTAAATTGGCTTTTGACCTTTAAAGATGGCTCATAATGCAATGCAGTAGGCAACATAAGCTTTCTTAGGGTTGCCTGCTTGAGTGGAACAATCTGTGAAGGGCAACAGGGAAGGCCTTCTCTCTTTCCTCCCAAGACCACCTCTATCATCCCAATATAGTTTTGGAACCAAAAGGAAAGCCACCAGAGACTCTCTTAAAAAGTGGCCAAGATTACATGTGTGAATAATTGGATATTTTGGCCTGAAGCCATATAGGGTTTTGAAAGTCCTAACTAAAAATGGGCTCAAAACCACAAGAAACGAACAGTCATATAAGATACCAGACTGAAGATGGACCACCTACATAGTTGGATGTTTGAGAACTAACCTAGACTTCTGCAGGCACCTTGCCTGAGATTTATTTGAGTGAGCCCTAACCTAGTCAGCTCAATGGAAATATTTTCACACCTTACCTGTTAGATCATGCTCATATAGGTATAACTCTGAGCAGGGTCACCAAGGTGGAACAGTTTTAATATAACAAAGGTATCAGACAAGAGTGCATTTTCCCCATATCTGTTCAATCTATATGCAAAACATGTCATACAAAAAATTGAACTAGATGAAGATGGAAGATAAGTGAAAATTGGTGAAATATCAATAATTTAAGATATGCAGATGATACCATATTACTGGCAGAATATTGCGATTTCAGATGACTAAGGTTGAAGGATAATGAGAAAAGTGCAAAAGTAGGTTTACAGTTTAACATTAAGAAGACAAAAATAGTGACTGCAGAAGAATTACATAATTACATAATTCTTCTGAAATGTGATATTGACAAGGAAGAAAGTGAAATAGGTAACTTATTATCAGTCTAAATGGAGGCTGCAGCCAAGAAATCAGAAGAAACTAAGATGCAGAAAGGTAGCTGTGACTTAACTTGAAAATATGACCAAATGTGAGGATGTGTTACTGAGAACCAAGAACAATATCATCCATGCTATATTATTCCTGGTTATTGTGTACGGATTTGGAAGCTAGACAGTGAAGAAATATGAATAGAGAAAAAAGTCAATGCATTCCAAATGCTATATTGGTGGACAGCTATACAGATATTATGGGCCACCAGAAATAACAAAAAAAGGAGTGCTAGATCAATCCAAGCTTGAACTCTTATTGTGCACTGTGCCTCTTTACGCAGTGGTTAAACTGCTGCATTGCAGCAAAAATTGTGCTCACGGCCTATGTTCAATCCCCGGTAGTCAGCTCAAGGTTGACTCAGCCTTCCATCCTTCTGAGGTTGGTAAAGTGAGTACCCAGCTTGTGGGGGGGGGATCTGTAGCCTGTGTAATTAACTTGTAAGGACCCAGAGGACACCTTAAGCGCTATGGTGTGGTTTTTTGTTTTTTGTTTTTGGACTTATATACCGCCCCATATATATTTTTTTTGGACTTATATACCTCCTCATAGTGCTACAAGCACTCTCCGGGCGGTTTACAATTTAATTATACAGGCTACACATTGCCCCCCAGCAAGCTGGGTACTCATTTTACCGATCTCGGAAGGATGGAAGGCTGAGTCAATCTTGAGCCGACTACCTGGGATTTGAACCCCAGGTCGTGAGCACAGTTTTAGCTGCAGTACAGCGTTTTAACCACTGCGCCACGAGGCTCTGGTATATAAACAGCGTGCTTTTATTAGGAGATATAATGACTGAATTGAACTGCTTTATTTCAGACATATCAGGAGAAGAGAAGACTCATTGCATTTGACAATTTTGCTATGAAAAATTGAAGAAAGTAGGAAAAGAGGGGAACTGATGGATTGTTCAATAAAGAAAGCAGTAAAATTTGTTTACTTCATGGATTGCTGCCTTGTCATGGCGAAGGGGCTAGAGTAATTCAGAGAAGCTATGGACCATGTCGTGTAGGGACACCCAAGACAGACACGTCATAGTGGAGAGTTCTGACTAAACGCAATCC